GTGATGATGATGATGATGATGATGATGATGATGGTGGTGGTGGTGGTGATGATGATGATGATGATGATGATGATGATGATGATGATGATGATGATGATGATGCTGCTGATGATGATGATGATGATGATGGTGGTGGTGGTGGTGGTGATGATGATGATGATTCTGATAATGTTGACGATGCTGATGAGGATGACGATTATGATGGTGATGAAACTCGATTGGGCCGTCTTGGGGCTGTCCTGGCCTCCTGTGAGGCAGTCTTGCGGGTTCCTTGGGGCCCTCTTGGGCCGTCCCGGGGTCCTCTGACGCCGGCTGGGGGCTCTTCTGGGCCGTCGTGGGGTTCTTTTCGCTGTATGGTGGGTGTCTGGGGGCCGTCGCGGGGCCGTCTTGGCGCCGTCTTTTGCCGTCGGAGGGCTTTCTAAGGCCGTCTTGGTTAGGCCGTCTTGGGGCCGTCTTGGATGCCTTTTGGGTCATCGTGGAGTCCTCTTGGGCCGTCTTGAGCTGACGGTAGCCCGAAAGGGCGATAATGCGAAGATCATTAAAACACCCAAGGTTTCGGACCCCGTTGGAGGTCCCCTTGTGGCCATTTTGGGTTCTCTTGGAGGCGTCTGGGCCATCGTGGTGTCGTTGGCTGCCTGCACGGGCCGTGTTGGAAGCTCAGGGTGCCTATCCGTCGTTTTGAACGAGGGGTCGTTGCTTGGGAGGTCCTGGAGAGCTTGGGAGCGGCGCCTGGGAATGTGGGATGCGCACGATCCTCGAGCGGGTGCGCGTGGGATGAGGGGCCTATGATTTAGCAGCCATGCGGGAAGTGCACAGTTCTCGAGGGGGCGCGCATGAAATGAGGGTTTAGGCATTAGCCGCCAAGCGGGAAGTGCACCATCCTCGAGCGGGCACGCATGGAATGGGGAGTCAGGCATTAGTTGCCATGTGGGATGTGCATCATCCTCGACCGGGCACGCGTGGAATGGGGATTCAGGCATTAGCTGGTATGCGGGAAGTGCACCATCTTCTAGCGCGCACGCGTGGAATGGGGGTTAGGCAGGAGCTGCCATGCTGGGAGTGAACCGTCCTCCAGTGGGCACGTGTGGAATGGGGATTCGTTTGAATATATATATATATATACACATTTGTAAAATGTTGCTCCCGCTGAGGCGCTGGCCTCATTTTCGGGCTTCCGCTCGTTCCGAATCGTGCTCCCGCTGCAGCGCTGGCCTCATTTGCGCGCTTCCGCTCGTTCCGAATCGTGCTCCCGCTGCAGCGCTGGCCTCACTTCCGCGCTTCCGCTCGTTCCGAATCGTGCTCCCGCTGCAGGCGTCATTATTTCCAGTGCCATGCCACGGCATGTAATGAAATGCTATGTGGTGTTCCGCTGTGCGATGCCATGCCTTCAGCTGCAATGCTAGGATATGCAGTGCTTCACTACGCAGTGCCACGCCATGCTATGCCATGCTAAGCTTTGATCCTCAACGCCATGCTATGCAATTTTCTGTTATGTTCCGCGGTGCGATGCCAGTCTTTGCATTGCAGTGTTTTGTGATGCAATTCTTCACTACGCAATGCCACGCCATGCTATGACACACTACGCTCTGCCTTGCTCTTCTACGCCCTGCTATGCCGTGCTCTACGGTGTATCGCACACCCTCTCGGGATCATTGCTCTGCTCGACATCCGCCTGTGCCAATCGAGAGGGTATCTACGCCATGGTAAGGGATGGGAGGGAGGGGTAGGACGTCAGATATGACGCAAGCGCACCTAGCTTGTCCCCTCCCCTCCCCTCTCCTCCCCTCCCCTCCTCTCCCCCCCACTCCCCTTTCTCTGTCTTTTTTTCTATCTCTCTCTCTCTATCTCTCTCTCTCTCTCTCTCTCCTTGTCGTCCTCCTCCTCCCCCCAGTAAGGAGCGACCGTTCGGGAGACACCTGTGGAAACCAGCCGTGGCGCTTTTTATTCGCTGTGATTGGCTTGCCTGCTTGACTGCTGGCCTGCCGTGCTCTGCCTCTCGAGCAGCTCGCCTGCCAGCGTTCTGGATGCCAGGCCCCCGAGATCGGTGGCCCGCTGCCCTCCGCTGCCTCGCCACCGTTGCCCCCGTCGCGGCCCCCCCCGTCCTGCTCCCCGTCGTGGCCCCCCGCCGTCGCCCCTGGTCTGTGATGTTTCGTTTGTCGACCTCGGCAGAAGGCCTATTTCTGGGCCCGCCCCTCATGTCTGGAGGCCCCGACCTGAGTTGCTCTCCCTCCTCGAACGTCTCGGTCTCCGAGTGCTCGCCCGGGTGCAGCGGCATCTCCCCCCCGTCTTGCATGTCTGAGCACAGGATCCGCTGACGCACGGCTCAGGTTTTTGCCTCTCCACTTCCTGCCGCTGGCTTGTCAGCTTGGCCCTCACCCGAGAACCACCCGTGCGGACGCCATCCATGCAGCGTTTCCCGCCGCAAACTGCGTGATCGTGCTGCAAATCGCTGGACGAGTAAAAGTGTGTGTGTGTGTGTGTGTGTGTGTGTGTGTGTGTGTGCGCGTGTGTGTTTCACTTGCATCTGCCGTCCGCGCCTGAGGGTCTTCTGCGTCGCCGACTTAAGAGTGTGTGTGTGTGTGTGTTTTTTCCGGACTCCGTCCAACAAAACCCTCAACCCCTGTCCCGCGGGTGTTCTGGAGGTTGCCTTCCTGGGCGCCTCGTGGGCGCCCCGTTGGCGCCCCGTGGGCACCCCGTGCGCTGGCTGGGTCCACCGAGGTTTCGCCTGGTGGGCGCCCGTGGGCGCGCCCACGTGGTGTCCGCTGCAGACTGCATTTCGTAGCTTGGACCCCGTAGGCTGCAGCACATCTATTCTCCCTTCTAAAAAGAGAATCGACTCTACCCCCCCCCTCCCCCTGGACTTATCGCTTCCCCCTTGGGATAGTATGATTTCATACATTTTCTGCACACTCGTCCATCCTCAATATGAAATCATACCATCCCAGGCAGGCCGGGTTCCCTCCCTCTGAGGTTCCCTGGTAAAAAACACTATGCGGTGACATTTTTTGTTCTAACATAGCACTTTTCCACGAATCCTTTGCAAAACATAGGACGAAGTGCACACGCGCGCGTCGTCACGCGCGCATGCCGGAATCCTTCAAAAACCTTCGGTTCCGGAAGGATTTCGCAATCGAATTTCCGAAAAACATACAAAAGCACATAGTTTCGCAACACTGATTTGCTAAGAAAGCTTCCGCGCGAGCTCTTGCGAAATCTTCAGAAAACCATAGGTTTTTCAAGATTTTCACAAAATGCTACCAAACGGGCTTCGCGCGCGCGCATGTCGAAATCTGTCGAACGCCCTTGCGCGTGTGCCGTCGCGAGAATCCTTTTCAAAAAATGGGACGAAGTGCAGACGCGCGCGTCGTCGCGGGCGTATGCCGAAAACCTTCAAAACCCATCGGTTTCGGAAGGATTTCAAAATCGTGCGTCCAAAAAACCTACAAAAACCCAAGGTTTCGCAACACGGATTTTCAACAAAAGCGTGCGCGCGCGCTCTCGTCGTCGTCGTCGTCGTCGTCGCCGTCCTCCCTCCTCCCGCGTCGTCGTCGTCGTCGTCGCCTACGTCGTCCTCTGTCTTTCCTCGTGTTCGTCGTCGTCGTCCTCTTTGGCGTCGTGGTCGTTTCCGTCGTCGTTGTCGCCGTGGTCGTCCTTCCTCCTCCTCCCCGTCGTCGTCGTCGTCGTCCGTCGTCGGCGTCTCGTCGTCGTCCCTCCTATTTCGTCGCCGTCGTCGTCGTCGTCGTGTCGTCGTCGTCTTCCCTCCTCCCTCGTCGTTGTCGTCGTCGGCGTCGCCGTCCTTCCTCCTTCTTCGTCGTTCGCGTCGTCGCCGTCCTCCCTCCTCCCTCGTCGTTGTCGTCGTTGTCGCCGTCGTCGTCCTCCCTCCTTCCTCGTTGTTTTCGTTGGCGACGTCGTCGTCGTCGTCGTCGTCGGCGTCGGCGTCGTTGTCGTCTTCGTCGTCGTCGTCGTCGTCGACCGTCGTCGTCGTCCGTCGTCGTCGTCGTCGTCGTCGTCGTCGTCGTCGTCGTCGTCATCGTCGTCGTCGTCGTCGTCGTCGTCGTCGTCGTCGTCGTCGTCGTCGTCGTCGTCGTCGTCGTCGTCGTCGTCGTCGTCGTCGTTGTCGGCGTCGTCGAAGTCGTTGGAGACGTCGTCGGTGTCGTCGTAGTCGTTGTCGGCGGCGTCGTCATCGTCGTTGTCGCTGTCGTCGTCGGCGTCGCTGTTGTTGCCAAGTGCCATGTGTTACCCACCGTCACGGTCTTCAGAGATTTTGCAAACCAAGTTGCGGGTGGGTGGGTGGGATGTTTGCGCGAGCAGTGGAGTGGACAACTCACTGCGAACAGAAATTAGTTGCACCACATAGCTTGTACCACACAGCTTGCACTACTCATGTTGCACTGTATACAGCTTCCACCACATATATATATTGCATTCCATTGCTCGAAATTCATCCATAGCTCGCAACTCATAGAGTGCACCACGTATGTCACCGCGAAAATTACGCATCCAGGGTGCAGTAACTCATTGGGGTCCACGCTGGCGACCATTTTTTGGGGGTCTCAGGCGCAAATAACTTAAAACACCGTGACGGGTGGTGAAGAAGAGTTTTCTGGGTACGCCTGAGTGGTGTGCTGAGTGGTGCCCACTCTCTCTGTCGGGGGTCCGCGCGCCAGCATCATGGGCCACGGAGGCTTTGCGAGTTCCGCTCGGTCAGTCGACAGAGGCGCCAGGGAGATGGGCAATGTGGCCGCCTCCGAAGATGCAGTGCGAGTTGAGCCGCAGTCGCGACCCAGCACCGCAGCAGCATGCGTTGGCCGCGCCAGTGCGTCGGGGGACGGGCGTTCCGCCCCCTTGATGCCAGCAGCAAGAGCGTCCAAGCACATGCTGCGCAGCACCACACGTTGCGCGCTGCGCGCAGCCGGCGGGACGCACCGAGCAGCGTCCACTGCAGACGCCGGCGGGCTCAGGCCGTGCTCCCCCCCCTGGCCTTTTGCCTCCCCCCGCCGATGGCCTGCTGCCGCTCCCCCGACGCCGACTTCGCGGCGCTGCGCCGCTCCGAGGAGCGCCTCGTGCGGGGCGCCGTGCGGGGGTCCTCCACGCTGGGCGCGGTCGTGAGCCGGGACACGCTGGTGGAGTCCCCGCGCGACCCCGTCGTGGGCCACGCCGTGCTGCACTGCCTCGAGCTGCGGCCCGCGGGCCTCGGCGTGCCCCTGGGCCCGGCCGAGCGCGACCTCGCCGTGGCCGACGGCGCGGCGGGCGAGGGTGCCGTGCTGGTGGCCTGCGGCCCCCCGCGAAGCCTGCGCCCCTGCAGGCCCCAGCGACGCTGGGGCACCCAGAGATCGACGCTTTCGATTTGGCCGTTTTCGGTCGGGATTTGGGGACGCTGGGGGCGGGATTTGGCCGTTTTCGGCCTCTGGGGGCCCTCGCCGGGCCTCGGGAGCGTCAAGACGCGGCCCAGGACGAACGCCCGGCCCCGGGGAAGTGGTCCAAACCTCCCAGGCCCACGCATCCAAGAAAATTAGCCTGGCGAAAGACCCAACCAACCATGTGCAGTTGTGAGTTCCGTAATTGTAAATATCTTCTTCGGTGGCGCTCCCTATGGGCCACGAAACGCTGTAATGGGTGGGTGAAACGCAGGGAGCAAGGGCCGTGATGGGTGGTGGCGGACGCATGCGGGCGGTGCCACTGGGACCTTCCGTGGCGCTCCCTATGGGGCCACGAAGCGCTGTATTGGGTGGGTGAAACGCAGGGCGCAAGGGGTGTGCTGGGTGGTGGCGGACGCATGCGGGCGGTGCCACTGGGACCTTCGGTGGAGCCCCCTTCTGGGGTCACGAAACGTTGTACTGGGTGGCTGAAACGCAGGGAGCAATGGCTGTGCTGGGTGGTGGCGGACGCATGCGGGCGGTGCCACTGGGACCTTCGGTGGAGCCCCCTATGGGGCCACGACGCGTTGTACTGGGTGGGTGAAACGAAGGGAGCAAGGGCTGTGCTGGGCGGTGCCACTGGGACCTCCGGTGGAGCCCTTTTATGGGGCCACGAAACGCTGTACTGGGTGGGTGAAACGCAGGGAGCAAGGTCTGTGCTGGGTGGTAGCGGACGCATGCGGGCGGTGCCACTGGG